CACACACACACACTCACTCACACACCAACACGCTCACACAAGTAAAATAATGTGACACAACAAACTCAAACCTGAACACACGGGTATAACACAAGACGTGAGTCACTGATGACATCACAGTGCGACTAAAGAGTAAAAGTATCCGACCCTTACAACAGGCAGCCGACAGGTGCATGCTGGGAGTTCGCATGCAGAGCTGAGTCGTCAGCAGAACTTTGATTCTCAGTGAAACTTCTCAGCATCTGATTATAGTTGGTTAACTCCTGTAATCTGATTACAACTCAGCCCTGTGTGTGTGTGTGCGTGCGTGTGTGTGTGTGTGTGTGTGTGTGTGTGTGTGTGTGTGAACCAGTGGAAGTCGACCCCTCCTTCACCCCCCTCCACTCGCTGCTCTCCGCCTGTCGCCTCCTTAAAGCTCCATTAAACTCCAATAAAAAGAAGTAGGTCAGATGCTTTCAGACCACCAAACTGTGTGTGTGTGTGTGTGTGTGTGTGTGTGTGTGTGTGTGTGCTGCTTCTTCTCCTGGATCCTCTCAGTTCCAGCTGCTGCTGCGTGTCACTTCCATGTGAACTTCCTGAAACAAAGATCTATACATGAACTGAACAAAGAGTCAAACTGAGAAGAGACAGACTCAGAGTCAGTCAAACAGAATCAAACACGTCTTCATTAAAGGAGACACATCTGCTCATGTTCAGGTCGATCATGTCGTGAAGTGTTTTCATGCTCTGATGTTCAGAGAGCTCTTCACTCCGTCGCTGCAGCTCCTCTTGACATCGGTAAAACACCTTTAACGAAGCAGAGCAAAGAAAAACTTCACATGTCCTCTAAACTCAGTTTCACCTGCTTGTTTCTGTCGTTAGTGAAACAATATGAATTCAAGTTTGGTCGCGTTGGTGATTCCAGGTCTGGAACCAGGATCTCTCTGGTCCGAGACTTAGTTCAGTGTGTAATTATACTGGACACACACAGTAAATCCATTCAGGAGCCATGTGTGTGATTTTCAAATCAAAGTACTCTGCGTATTCACGGTGAGGCAGTAATGTAAAATCCAGACTGAGGACACTCGGTCTCTGTCAGCGTCTGCTCGTTTTACATTTTTCCACTCGGATCCTCTGGGTCAGATTTGGAGGGAAATCTGCTGGATTGCAGGTTTTGTGAAGTGAGAGCAGCGGCGCTGAGAACCCGAGATGTTTGTCTTTGTTCGGTTAGTTATCCGCCACAAAGAGAGAAGCACGCCAGATAAGAAAATGGCTCCGGAATGCAGCTTCTTTGCCATGTGAAAAAGCCAAAATCAGGACTGGAGCGCTGTGAAGAAATCTTAGTTCCAGTGATATCACAACAATGTGTCATGAAACAGGCTCCTATTAAAACCAGCACACATGGATCTGCTCCATGAGACGCTGGGGTCACGCTGCTCAGCTCCTCTGTCTGTGACGCTGCAGAGTAATGAGCTGCAGACTGAATGGGGTGCGGGGGGGCGATGTGTTTTATTGTCTTAAAACGTATTGCACATGAAAGTGAACGTGGAAGAGGAGGAAGAGGCAGATTACTGAGGCTAGTTTCAATTAGATCCCAAGTGGAGACGGAAAAGTTTAGAAACGTCATCGTCAATCTTTTTCTCTCCCAATGCGTCGTAAAGATCAGTTTTACCATTTATCTGTGTCCGTTAAGATTCCTGAGCGTCTCCGTTTATATCGACCACCTGGCGTGTCTTCGAGAGACTTTCCTGTCAACCAATCTGTCCATTTAAGTCGTGTACGACCACACAGAGCGCAGAGCGAGCTGCATTTACCCAAATCCTGATGAACCTTCAGACCATTTTACATCAGGCTGCCGCAACTTGTGTCAAATCAGAAACACGAAACTGACAAAACAAAAGAAATCAAAAGTCTCTGGATGAAAAGGAAAAGGCCGCAGACGAGGTGAAGATGTGACGTAAACAAACTCACGTGATCTCTGCAGAATGATGTCACTTCCTGCCTCTGTGTGCGGCTCCACCCTCTCCAGACTCAACAGTCCTCTGGAGTTCATGTCTGAAAACTGCTTCACCACACAAACACCATCATGACGAGTTCATGTCACAGGGACAATGGCTGGTGGACTGAGGGGAGGCGGAGGACGTCCATGGTGTTTTTAGTGGCGGTGCAGACTGACGGCCGGTGTCGTGTTTCCTCTGATTGGTGGAGATGAATTCAGGCTCGTTGAAGCCGGTCTTCGTCTCCAGATTCTCAGGATGTAGATAATTACAGCTGCTGTGTGTGTGTTTAAAATACGCAACATGAGGAGGACGGACAGTAAAAACCTCACCTCTGCGTGTCTGTGAGTTGAAGCGCAGGACGTGTCTCCAGGACGACTGGATGGAAAGTTTCTAGGAATGTGTCTGGGGCAGATTTAGTTTATCTGCCATGTGATTTAAATTCCTCCTGCAGAGGGTTTGTGTCTTTACATTTCTCCGGGTGTTCAGAACTCCGGCTGGCGCCCCCCAAAGGTCGCAGAGACCATTACAGTCACACTGTTAAAGTTTTGGAAAGAAAAACACGTTTATTTATTCTATGAGCCGTTCAGTGGAGCTATGTATGAGTTAACCACGACCGCTGCAGGAGGACTCAAGCCTTCAGGTCACTGTGTCATTAAAGTCTGGAGGGTTCGTCCTCTATGGACCCAGAGTATGAGAAGTTGACCTCAGACGGTCCTGGACGAGATCCCTCCTCCACAGGACGTGACATCTGCATCGATCTTCATGTAAATCCTGCGCTTCCTGTCCAACATCACTGATGGAGGTGGGAGAACACCAGGATCCATAAACCTTCTCGTGTCACACTCAGGATTTAAAACGTTGCTCTCGATGTGTTGGACGCTCACACTGACTTTGGCCTCAGCTGCTGCTGCTGCGAAGGGAGAAGCCGAGCCAACGAATTCTGCACACATGTCATCACTCATCTAATAATATGCTCTCCATCCTCATAATGACCTGGCTGCAGGTCCGCAGCTCCGTGGCACAGAGGAAGGAGATAAAACACCCGAGCTGCGGTTACAGTCGTGTGTCCCTGAACGTCCTCAGATGGTTTGAAGCTGCAGACGAGTTTGTCTGTCGAAGATATTACAGCTGCTTCGAGTTCTTCGACTCGTTCCTGTGATTAATGTCTGTCCTTCTCTCCTTTCTCGTCCCATAGTTACCTTGACCTCCTTCCTCCTTTCCTCCGTCTCCCCCCTGTTCTTCATCCCCCTTGTTCAGACCTCCCCCTCTTTTCTATCGCTCCGCTGGTGTCCAAGAATCTTTGGCTCCACGCTGTGATAAATGTTTGTCAGCGGATTCAACAGCTGAAGAGTCTCCAGCGTCCTCCATCGTGTTCTTTCACCACCTCCACAACCCCCCTTTCCTCTGGTGCCTCTCTTCCTCCATCATCTGGACAACTTGTCATCTTCCTCCTCCGTTTCTTCACGTTTTGTCTCCTTCTCTAGTGATGATCTCACAGATCATTGTTCATAATCTACCAATGTCCTCTGTCTCTCTCTCTCTCTCTCTCCCATCTTTGGTTTCTTGTCCTTTTCTTCAGTTCCTCCTCTTTTGTTCAAATTGAGATGAATGTTTGTTGCTCCGATCTCTTCGGTTCTTCTCGTTTGTCATCGCTCCAAACAGGTGTGGAGTCCTGTGCCTTCACCGTATGTCTTCTTCTTCTTCCTCCTTCATCATCCCTTCGTCTGGACTTCCCTCTCACCTCCTGACGCTCCTTCATCATCTCAACCTGCTCCGGCGTCGTCCTCTGGTCCCTGTTTCTTCTTAACATGAACTCAACTTTGTGTCGTGATAAATGTTCAGCGGAGTCGACGGCTGAACTCTCTGTGGAAGCTTCTAATCTCAACCCTGATCCATCTGCCGTGCTCCAGGGTCGTTTCTGATTCTGGTTCATTGAGTTCTCACTGGATCCTGAATCATATTTCATCATATTGTGCGAATAAGTGTAATAAGAAAAGAAACAGAAAACAGATCCAGGCTGTCGAACAGAATTATTTATTATAAGTCAAGTATTTCTCTTGTTCTCTGGGTTGAAGTGAAATGATCCCTGACTGAGTCTGAAGTGTTGTTACTGTGACACTCAGAGGCAGTCAGTGTACACGCTGGTGATACAGTTGTGTACTTTTGTAGATTGTAACGTCTCTCTGTCTCTGTCTCTGTCTCTCTGTGTCTCTGTCTCTCTGTCTCTCTGTCTCTCTGT